GTTTACAATTCTGCATCGGTATCGTTGATCGAAAACTACGGTGTAGCGGCGATTAATCACGCATGCGGCCAGTTCCACGCGAGCGAAACTGGCCACAGTTGCACAATTTATTCGGACAGCTGTCACTGACGTTCGGGAAACAAAAAAAAAAAAAAAGAAAAAAGAAAAGAAAGAAAAGAAAAAAAAGAAACGGCCTGGTTTTCCCTCTCGAGGAGACGGTTCCTCGACCACCGAAAAATCGCTTCTGTCGCTTTCAGCGTTCAGGGGGAGCTGCTCTATTCGATCTGCTCGACTATTCATCAATGACAGTCATAATAATCATAAGTCATGACAATCAACGAGTCACTTTCGGAGGGGGGAGGGTGGTGGTTGAATCGTGTACACGTAAGCAACACGTAACACACACACACACACACACAACAACACATACGCACGAAACGAAACGACACGACACGATCACTTACAAAAATGACGATCGCACGCGCTCCTGCACTCTTTCTCGCGAGACAAAAGAAAAGAAAACAAAAAAAAAAAAAAAACAAAAAAAGAAAGAGTTCGTTCGTCGTCAATTTACGTATGTATGTACAGTCCTCGATTATTAATTATTGCTATGGTACATTTATACAGTCTAGATACGCGTACAATAGGCCGTACCGAATAAAAAGTGAAGCGTTCGCGATGTTTTCTTCTTTTCTATTTTCCTCTTCTGCTTCTTTTTGTTGCAGTGCTTCCTTTTTTCGTCTTTTTTTTTTTTTTTTTTTTTGTTTCTACCTCTCTTCTTGCTTTTCACATTTGTTCTGGAGACGAAGAGAGAAACTCGACTCGCTGCGAATCGCTCGCGGGAGAAAATGGCGAATGGGGGGCTCGTCTCGCACGCCCGTGCGTAAACTGCTGCTGACAGATCGTCTTTAACGAGATTCGACTGCCCTCCGCTCTGCCCGCTTTCCGTCTCCGAGTTCTTTCTCTTTCTTTTTTTTCTTTTTTTCTTCTTCTTTTGCGAGTGGAGATTTTTTTTAGTAGATCCGGATCTCGAAAATGAGAACTCGACGAAGAAATGACGAAGATTATAAAACCTGGCAATCTGACTGTCTCGAACGAGATGCGAACGAAAGAAAGAAATTCTTCGATCATTCGAATAACAATAGCAAACACAGGTGGAGTTGTGTACTCACGGTACTGCGATTCGTATCGATTAATTTGTGAATTTCACGAGGACATCAAGATCCCGGTATCGACGAACTCTGTGTCTGCAATTTGTTCGAATAAACTGACTGAAAGCTGTTTGCTTCAGAGTCGGAGGGCGAACGATCTTCCTTCTATCGTTTTCTTTCTTTTTTTTTTTATTATAATCACTATTATTATTATTATTTTTATCATTACTATTATCATTATTATTATTTTTATTATTATTATTATTATTATTAAACGCTCTTTCACCGCAAACAATCTCATTTTTTTCTCTCACTTTTAAACAAGTATCGCGTTACAGGTAATACAGCGTTTTTTTTTCGTTTGCCTCTAGTTACACCTATGCAGCACTGTTTTTTGCTTTTAACCTACGTTTACTTTTGAAAACATATTTACAAATTCAACGCGTTTCCGAGCACCTTCCGTGCCCGTTCGTAACCAGTCACTTGCTCGTCAGCCAACGCACGCAAACACACACACACACACACACACACACACGTGCATGCACGCAGAGAGAATGATTCTTTAAAAGTTATCTGACCGACCGAAATAACGTTTCTGGCCTGATATTTACTCGCGAAAGTTTAATTTTCGTAAATTTGAATCACAAACGAAAATAACTGCGTTTCTCTTCTCTGTGAATATCTGACGGGCGAGATGACACGAATTGCGTCAAATTACCTCGCATAGCGAATAGGAACCCCGATTTTGTTTATCAATAATACCGAATAATGAAAATGTCCCTTTGTCAGGTGATTAAACAGCGGAGGAAATATATTCTTTTCGTCACGCTTCGAAATCACGGCGACAAATGTTCTGCGTTTCTCTCGCCGAGAAAGGAACGGATCGTCGAACGGAAGTTGCGATTTCAAAATTTCAAGACGATCCACGGACTGTGATTCCTGTTGGAAAAATAATACAAAAGTTCGTGACGATGCAGGCGATGCGCAGTGCGACGTAGCGAAAGCTCGGAAGATACCGATTTCCGACTGTATCAAGCCCATCTGTAAAGTTTCAACGTTTCACGACGGGCGACGCGTTTCCGGCGCGTGATCCTCTCTGTCGAAATTTGCAATTTCGTTGCGTACCGAATGTGTGTGTGAGAGAGAGAGAGAGAGAGAAAGAAAGAAAAGCGAAAAACCGTAGAAGAATACTTGTCATTCCGTCCCCTCGCTTGTTTCCGGTCGCTGTACGCTTCAGTCTCTCTCTCTCTCTTTCGCGCGACTGACCGACCAATTTGTTCGCGAGCTTCCGGTTGCCCCGGCGAATCCTTCGAGTCGCCTTTCGTACGCGAGCGCTGAACCCACCAGACGGAATCCGATTTTACAAAGCCGAGTTTTTACAGTAGACTCGGTCGATCTTTTGCGATTTCGGTTGGAGAAAGATGGAATTATACAACGAAAGGAGAAATACAAATTTTATCCACTTTTAATCGGTATTTCGAAAGTATTTTGAAAAGTTCGAAGAAACGAGAGTTCAGCAACGAGATGAACGTTCGATCTTCGCCCGTTTATCCTGCAAAGTAGAGCTTCATCGATCAACGAGATCATCCCCTCTTGCAAGTGCTAAATTCCAAACTTCGGCTAGAATCTACTTTCTCTTTTCTACTCGACGTTTTTCAGAGTCAATTCGTATGTTCGTGGCATATATTCGTTTCCACGCCAGATATGTTAGGAAAATATATTTATATTAATGAAAATGATACGAAGATTTTTAATGAGAACGCTGAGCTTGTTTCTCAGATACCGGCTCGTCAATATCCGGTTTGATACAGGTAGTGACAATATGAAAGGTTTCAGGATGTCCGTCTAAAATTTCTTGTTCTCATTATTTATTTTCTGTGGGAAAGAAATCTGCTCGCGAATACAGGTACTCCCCAAAAGGGATACTCAAAATTATTCAAATAATAAGATTCTCATTTAATTGTTCCAATTCTGGTTATACAGAGTGGACTGCATGAATAGGGTTCAAAGACACGTCTCTGCCTTAACTTCTAGGGGCACGCAATTTTTAAAGAAAAAAAGAAATCTTTGTCTGCACGGAATTTTTCTTAATATAAAAAAGGGAAGAGAACGTTTACTTCAATCGTTAAAACGTGAAATATTTCTTAAAATGAAAAAAAGTAATAATTAAACAATATTTAATTTAAATTAATATTCAAACTGAAATTTAAATAAAATATAATAATGTGTTAAAATAAAATATTTTATATATTACATAATGTTATAAAATATAATGATGTAAATCAAACGTAAAATATTTCTTAAAATAAAAGGAAGTAATATTTAAATAATATTTAATTTAAATTAAAATTTAAATAACATATAACACTGTATGAGTATCAGTAATTTCAATTTCGTGGGTTAAAAAATATCCCACCATGCATTAATTGTAAAAAAAAAAAAAAAATGTGGGACTATTTTAAACCCACCTAACCCCAAAGAGTTGTATCTTAAGACAGAGGTGGCTAACTGGCGACCCTTGCCCCTACTTTACTGATCGCTATCCCCTCCACTTCGCATCGTTATCCACACTAGCTCGAGAGATCCAGGCAGGAAGTACCTAGAACCAGCTCAATTTGAGTCTAGAATTGCGTGAAAATCAGTCCGAAGCGCGAGGCGTTCGACAGAACCGGCGTGGCCCCGGATTTCCGCTGCCGGGATTAATTAACGCGGTGATAAATCGATTCGAGCGTGATCGATTTTAATCGGCAATGCTTGAAAATAACAACAACAATTCCAAAGCGGAAGCTGACAGATCTCTTTATTTTGTTCTTTTGAAATCGAACAGACGGAGGTGAGGAAAGATGGAATTTTGACTAGCGGAGGATTTTTAAATCATTCGAAACGAAGATAAGATGTATCAAATTTTCGAGACCACGATGCAACGAATTTTGATTAGAATCTTATATTTTTCAGTTGCATTGAGTTACTACTGTGAATCGGTCGCTGTTTCGATGCTTGAAAATAATAGCAATAATCAATGAACGTTGGCAGATCTCTTCGGAGGATTTTTTTCAAGTCAGACAGACGCAGGTGAGAAAGGAAATTTTTGAAAATTTTGACAAAAAGTGTCGAATTCTCGAGACGATAATTATAATTATAATTTTGATTAGAACCTTATATTTTTGTCACATCATTGAGAATAGTCTCCGAATCTCAGTCCACGACTGTGGAAAAATATGGCCTATAAAATGGAAAAGACAGAGATCCTCGATCGTTACAATTTAACCAATTGCCAAGTAAGAATCTCGGTAATGGCAGCTAATTGGGTCAATTGGCAGAGAATGAAAAGAAAATACCCTGGCCAAAGTGGAACGAAGGATGTCATTCTTGCTTTCATTTTTCGAATTATCGAAACAACGTCTACGCTTGGTATAAATCGTTCAGCATTCAATGGAACTGTAACTGTCCAAGAATAATACAGAAGTTGAAAAGGCGATGAGAAAGCAATTTAGCCAATTTACTTCGATACATCCTGTTGTTATACATTTTGTCGTCATTCACGAACAAAAATTAAACGCCCAAACTAAAACGATAAATCTTCTCGACGAGGAAGGAACGAAGAAGAGACAGGGACTTGTCCAACTCAGTGAAAACCGGCAGAACAAATGCTGCAACTTCGAAATTTATTTGTCAACTTCTCTGAAGCAACAAGCATTCATCCGCCTGTCCGAAGTAACTGAAACTTGCGTGCTTCGCTCGTTTGTTTGCCTTGAAACGCGCTTCCTAACAGAGAAGCAAGGGCCGATTCTTCTTTTGACGTGTGTGTATTTTTCTTTCTTTCTTTTCTTTTTTTTCAGGTAATCGATCGCGGAAATTTATGTCCCGCGAATTCTGTACTCGCCGAAGCTTGCCAGCGACAAATCAAACGAAACGGAAGGGAAGAGGAGAGTTTTCGAGGATGGAAGCTTCCACTTCCGCAGGCGATTTCTTAATTAAACTGGGAACCCCGCCGCGAGAAGCCAATTAAAGAAATCAACCGGCCGATCGTTAATTATTCTGTGACGCGTTTGAACGTTTGGCCAGCGGCTTGTTTCTCCTCGTGGAGAGGAGCCAATTTTTCTCTCTTATGCCTTCGTGATAAAAATTCAAAGTTACGTAATGGAAAATTATTTCCATCGACCCGATTCGAGTGACTATTTCTTCTTGGTGAGTTTTCCTTTTGTTTCTCCCACCCCCCATTGGGGATTCAAATAGCAAATTTCCTTCTTCAATGACCAATACTTCGAAGGTCACGCAAGGTGCAAATGCGAATTTTTTTTTGGTGAAAATTACTACTAGAATTTTACTCCTCGTTGCATTTGAGAGTCTACTGAGAATGATGGCTCTAAATAATTCGTTCATTGTGATTGTTTCTTATCGATGGCAATTCGAGAGCCATTTCATAAAAATAAAAAAATCCCTCTCGAGATCAAAGATCGTATCGTCGTAAGACGTTGCAGGGACGTTATTCAGACACGGCTTAACGCTAGAACTGCCAAAGGCTAAAGCGGAAAGATTGCATCGAAGAAATTAGAGTGTAAAACGAATAACAAAAAGTTTATGATACAACGAAGGACACAAACTGTGTGATTTATTCGTGTATTGAATTAAAATTCTATAAAAACTGAAATTTTACAAAAATTATCCAAACCACTGGAAACACAACGTTGTAAATCTGCAGAAGTATATTCTAAATTGGTCATATCGAGACCAGTTTGGCAGTTCCAGCGTTAACGCAGCTCTCTACCAAAATGTATTCCCATGTTTGAACATCTCGAGTATCTCGACAAACCGTGTCGTGCGATATCAGGTAAGAAATATCAAAAGTTCGCAAAACGTAAACTCCCAAGTTCAAGGGACATTCGCGTTAGATATATTCCCTTTAAAAGTGGTGTTGGAATTTAATCCAATAAACGCTCAATCAATCAACACCAATCGACCCGAAACGCGTTGATAGCCAATGTACTTTCGTTAGAAAAATTATTCTTCGTCGTCATACCTATGTATCGTCCTCCTTTCGACACTCTCGCATCAGTCACGCAACATCCAGCCAGCAAGCCATCCATACAGGCAGACAGACAGACAGACAGACAAACATTCGACAGACAACGCGTACGAGATGCACTTAGGCAAGTTTGGACAATCGTTGGACAGCGATATTTGTCCAGTGGATCGCAAGAATCAGCTTCTCGCTCGAGGCGCTATCGCGGCGTTATTTCTCCCGCTAGACGAACTCCGACGGGGTTTTCCAGCAGCTGGCGCAGCACGGGAGCGCGCTCATCAGCGTGTCCTTGAAGGCCTCGCGGAAGTCGCGGTTGAAGTACGCGTAGATGAGCGGGTTCAGGGCGCTGTTGAAGTAACCTATCCAGAAGAGGACGGACACCACCGTGTCTGGACAGTAGCAGGCCTCGCCGCACAGGGACGTTGTTAGATACCTGAAAAAAAACGCGAATATTTCTGGATCAGTTGAGTATCCTTTTCTGTCATAAGCAATGTAAATGAAGGAATATAACAGTTTTAATGTTTCAATGCTAATGATAATCTAAGATATTTGGAAATTTAGTTAAAAGTTGTTTTCAGGAATGTCTAATGAAATATAAATCACTTATACGTGAAACCATGTGTTAATAATTTTAAGATTTTAATTCATCATATATTGAAAATGGATATCTTTCTGTAGAATGATTTCGGTTAATTACTAGCTACACATTTCGGTATTGAACACGTTAATGGGTCCCGAAAATCATGTTGCTGGAGCATTCACTAGTTCACCAACTCACCGTTATTTAACGTAGAGTGCGCTACAAAAACTAGTGACTTTTTACTATGTCGGTATTTCAGGTCGCGAAGTCCCGCAAGATGCAATATCTATTCGTATACCTCGTCTGACTTAGATGGCAATGTGGGCCATCATTAAATAGTATAAAATAAAATATAAAATGTTAGAGACATGGAACTTATTATTATCAATCAACTAAATATGAATTCTTCCCTGAAGGACAAAGAAGCGGTCCGAAAATTAATACACTTTCTAAGAAACTCTAATCTTTATAATAAATTGTAAGATTCAGCTTCAAAATAAGATTAGCTCAGCTAATAACCTACGCAAGTAGTTGATGCGACTGTAAGTAATAAAGAAAGAAAGAAATATAAATACAATACAATATATAGTGAAATATAAAACATAAAGTGAAACTACATCGTTTGAATATACGTTTGAGGCCAAAACCAAAAAGGCTAATTTGATAAAACAGTAGTAAACGTATCATTTTACAAACTGCAGCGCTGGTTAATACGACAATTTGGATACTTTTCGGCGAGTTGAGCTGAAGAAATTTTGCGACTGTGGATCGTTGAATGCTCGAGAGATCCAGAGACGAATTGATGTTTAACTGTATGTTTCAACACAGCGATAAATGAGAAAAGTACGAACGACAATATCTTCAAGGATAGAAATGGAACAACCTCCTGCTGAATATTCGCTCGTACTCAGTCGGGAATTGGCCGAGTATTTACTTTTGACATTGAATACGTAAATATATCTTTCGACAAATAGAGAGGATATATATTGTTTGCTTTCTTTTGAGTTATTCTGCAAACTGGAGCGTTATGCCTCATTCCGAGACAACAAAATGATATTCGAGGACCATTCCGCTTTCTTCAAACGAACTCTGACGGTGAAGTTTTCGTCAGAGGTTCGATTAAATGAAACTCCCCGGTTAAAACGAAAGTCCTTGATGACTGTGTTTGTCGACACAGCGGCGTTTGAAAGGCATCGGCAAACGCAGAAATACCTCGAGCGTCGGGCTCTTTCAATTTTCGCAGAAACTTCGTTTCCGCAATGTAAATACATTCACGATTAATTAATTCGCGTACGACGATGCGACATTACTTGGAATCATATTCTCCAGTATACGATGACTAGCACGACCGTGCCAATGACAATGAAAAATCGATAATTTATACTGATACAATAACAAACATCGTACGACGATGCACTTGATCTCGTTACATTTCTTCTAAAGAGTAAATCTTTTACTTTGACAGTCGTGGTGCTTTGTTTCTGAAAATGATTTCACATCATGCAGCGGGTGGAAAAACGAGAACAAATTTTCTCTCGAAAATTGTAAAAATTCAAGCGTGTATGAAAACGTTGAACTAAATTTTTCTTTCGTAATCAGATCGTTTTGTACATTGAAGATTTTCCTTCGAAACGACTCTTTAAAAATTATTGTGCGATTTTTTTCGTTTCATTGAACTTTGAATGTTTCGTAGGTTTAAGCAAGACAAAAATTCAAGAAACACCAGAATTTTGTCATCTAGTTCTAACGTTCAAAGTACAATAAATCGGGGAATAAAAATCATACGGCGAGTCTGAAGAAGTTGTTGTCAAAGAACGAATTTTAATCTTCAAGATTAAAATTTGAAGAAGAATTTTTTGATGCTCCTACACGCGTTTGAATTCTGAACGCGATCTGTTCACGCTTCGAAAATGATTACATAATATTTGCTTAGGAAATTATATCAATTTTAATTATCGACAATTATTGGCGCAGTAATTCGCGAGTTTGAAAATTTGTTGCAATAATTGCAATTACAATTCCAATCTTTGCTGGCTCTTTGTTTTCGTTAAATAATTAAAAAACAAAAAGTGAAATAATCTAAAAAGAATCCAACGATAAAATAATGGAAAACCAAAATAATAATAATAATAATAATAATAATAATAATAAAATAATAAAAAGTAATAATAATAAAAATAATAATAATAAAAAAAACACGATCGAATTCAATAAAATTTTAGAAGAAATGGATTCCGATGAAAAACACCAGCGTCTAAAGAACGTGAAGTCTCCATTTTCTCTGTTATCGGCCATCGAACGTTAACGATGTTGTTCGTTGCTTTCGTTAGCTTCTTATGTTTCGTATTGAATTTCTATGTTGTGGACATCATGTACGATCTTTCTAATTCGTTTGGACAGGAGGCCAGCGACCGGAAGTGGTGCGAGTGAGGGTGGGAAGAGAGAGAGAGATGTCGTTGGAACGCGACTTTCGTCTTCCGTCATTTTAATTAAAAAATTGTCCGCGAGTTGGACGCGGTCGAAACCGGGCAAATGAGAATTCATCGTTCCAGCAAAGAGATCCGACAGCAGATGTCCTCGTGGATGTTCGGATTAGAACTGGACTCGTGTCGTGTGAAAGCGTGTCGTATTGACGATGGCACACGAGCTCTTTTCACTTCCTTCATACAGTGATAACAAAACAGCGCACGTTTATATAAATTCACACTTTTGCTTGGAAAATACTTAGAATTGTTTCATGATATCTGATTGAATTCATCATTCTACGAATTATTCTCATAATATTTTCTGCAACATTCAGTCTTTTTATTTTCGTCTTTTTCGTGTTATTCCTCTAAGTAATTTCCTTCCTCGATTCAAGGTTTAAGTTAATTAGAAAATATTAAAAAATTTAACGTAAGAAATTTTAGGTTAAAATTGGAGAATATTAAAAAATTCAAGGTTTAAGTTAATTAAAAAATATTACACTGCTCGTAAAGAAAATAGAGTGACATAGGTGTGGAATTGTTTTATGTACTATGTACGTACATTATGAGAAATATTTAGTTCAATATTGTTCATTATTCTAAAAATTATTCTTTTAATTTTTCTGACGCTTTTATTTCTTCCAGTATTTATTTTTTCCAGTATTCAGCGCCTTTGCCATTATTTTCCTGAAGTCATTTCCTTTCTTGACGTTTTAAGTTAATTACACGATTCGTAGAAAAATAGAGAAACATATTACGTAGAATTGTTTTGTATATTATAAGCAATATTTCTCGTTCGTTATTAGAGTATTGTTTGTTATTCTCCAAAATTTTTCTACAATCTACCCAGTGTCTTTTTCACGACAATGAAAATTCTCGCTGAATAATTTTCCTTCCTTTACGGTCAAGTTAATTGCAAAATATTATTACGCTGTTCGTAGAAAAATTGAATAGCTCATGTCTGATTCTTTTTTACTATTAATTCCTTGCTACGCTACACGGTCAGTTTTTTTTATACCAAACCTTCGAAAGATCTTTCAGAAGGAATAAAAACTCGCAACAGCTATAAAGGGATGATAATTCCATCTGTTTTGCAAGTAACCGGCGAAACCGACGAGCTTGCAGTGTCGTAAATTCGCTAGAACACTCGAGGATAAGCGAATGAAATCCATCTGTTTTTAACTCCTGCAGCTGGAATAAGACGCGCGGATCTCGTCTTGAAAAATTGAGTTCAAATGAGAAAAATTGAAGCAACTCGGAGCAAAGTTATTACTGGATTACATCGCTCGTCTGAGAATTTGTTAATCAATTAAAGCTGCGTTAATCTTCGAAGCGAACGTAACTTCGACCGTAATTCATCATCGAAAGTTTCAATATTCGCAAAGACGATCTTCCTTTTCTTTTTCTTTTTTCCTCTTACTCGATCCACGCCTGTAAAATTCAAGCATGCGGTTAAATCGCTAAACTTGGGTGATTGATTGCAATTTTCGTTTCTTTCTTGTTGAACCTGCTCTCGTTTGCCAAGAGGAGGAGATTAATCTTCGTGTCGAACTATCCCCGGTGAAGTTTCAACTTTTACTCCCTTCAAAGTGTGGCACTAATTTACAAACAGCGTGTGAAACACGTAAAAATTAAGTTTCCAAGATTTATTTACTCTGCAGCAGTAAATTTGACGGGAGGTTGTGCCAAAGGAGGGAATTTATTAAATTTCCCTTGAAACTTCCCTTCGGGACCAATTAATTGCAACGATATTTCGTTGAAGAGTTTCATGTCTCAGTAAATATTCTGCCGAGTAATTGAATGATAATGATCTAATAACCAAACGCCGAGTGTTTGTGCACTTGATGGTACAAAAATGTAGAGAAGACACGCAATGTGCAGAAATATATTATAGATATAAAATGAAGCATACTGTCAAAATACATAACAGAGAAAACAAATTCTCGTTCTTTAATCGTTTTCGTAAAAATATGAAATTGCACAAAGATTCGTAGTCTAAGAACAAAAATTCCCTGAAGAATTTTGTTCCTTTGCAAGTAATTGCCGATTAATCCAATAACAATAATTAGACTGCGGATTTTTATGACACAAAAATACAGAAAAGGCAATGATATGTAATATATCTAAAAAGGAATATTTAATATATAAAATTTATTAAATTTAAATATATTGTGTATATTAAATAATTTATATATGTTTATATATATTTATGTGTATTAAATAATTTATTTTTGACATATATAAAAAATGTGTTGAAGTATCTGGTGGAGAAAACAAATTCTCGTTCTTTAATCGTTTTCGTAAAAATATGAAATTGCACAAAGATTCGTAGTCTACGAACAAAAATTCTTTGAAGAATTTTGTCCCTTTGCAAATAATTGCTGATTAACCCAATGGATCCAATAACAATAATCAGACTGCGGATTTTTATGACACAAAAATACAGAAAAGGCAATGATATATAATAAATCTAAAACAGAATATTTTATATAAAATTTATTGCATTTAAATATATTGTGTATATTAAATAATTTATATATATTTATATATATTTATGTATATTAAATAATTTATTTTTGACATATATAAAAAATGTGTTGAAGTATCTGGTGGAGAAAACAAATTCTCGTTCTTTAATCGTTTTCGTAAAAATATGAAATTGCACAAAGATTCGTAGTCCACGAACAAAAATTCTTTGAAGAATTTTGTCCGTTTGCAAGTAATTGCTGATTAATTCAATGGATCCAATAACAATAATCAGACTGCGGATTTTTATGACACAAAAATACAGAAAAGGCAATGATATGTTATATATTTAAAAAGGAATATTTGATATATAAAATTTATTAAATTTAAATATATTGTGTATATTAAATAATTTATATATATTTATATATATTTATGTGTATTAAATAATTTATTTTTGACATATATAAAAAAATGTGTTAAAATATCTGGTGGAGAAAACAAATTCTCGTTCAACAATGATGGATTCAATAAATCCGACATTTGTAAAATTCTTACAAAATACAGAAAAGGCGAGATGCAAAAATATGCGACACATCTAGAAGGAAACTTGTTGAAAAATATTTGACGGAGGGAACAAATTTTCGTGTTTTACGTCGCATTCGCGAAAATACGAACAAAGATCCGTCTACCGGATAAAACTCAAGAGAGGTCGCCGAGAAGTCAAGAGAGTCTCAAACTTTCCCTAGGCTCCAACAATCGCCGCGAGATTTCACCGTTTCACAGCAGAAACTCCGATATCGTACACGGTCTAAGCTCGCTGCATAAGCGCGAGATCGGTACTCTAAACTTGAACCGTAAAGGACCAAAATCCCCCGCGGGTTTTCGCCAACAGAGGCGGTAAAGGGATCTTTATCGGCGGCGATTAACGATAAATCGAATCATTGTTCCATTCGACCGCGCGGAACGCGCGAGCAGCCGTATCCTAAACCTTCCACGAAATAAACTGGAGGGAGGAGAGTGCTGCTGCTGGCTGCCTTATTATTCCCCGACGGTGAAGAAGCAGGCAGGCAGCAGCATCCAGCGTGTTTAGCCAGGCAAATAGTTCAATTCCACGCCGGGGCAGAGGAGTCAACTCTCGGCAAACTCGGCAGGCTCGGGTTTTGCATTAATAAAACATGCGGCTAGCTCGGCTTTCGCGAGTATTCACCGGACTCAACCTCGATCCGGAGGAGGGAGAACGAAACTTGGTCGTCGTCTGTGCGATGGAACAGAATCTCCGGCGAGCAGCTTCCATCTCTCTGGATTCGCCGAGCTCCAGATTCGATACCAGCCACCGCGAGTTTCCTCCTCTTGGCTCCGCTCTCGGAACGAGGAGGAAGAAAGACGCTTCCGCTCGCTGGAGGGATTAACAACATGGAAGAAATGGGAGAGGAAGAAACGGGAGACGAAGTTTCGGAAAGGTATCCGGAATGTTTTGCGGCAATGTGTATCAAGTTATTATGTAGCGACGCGAAATGAGAATAACGCGGGGCGAAGAAACTGCTCGGGAAATTGCTCGGAACTTCATCCGGGCAATTGTCGCCTGCCACGTGTCCGCAGTGAAAAACTTGGGAATGCTTGTTTTAGTCGCCTCAAGTTTTAGAACTTGAAATATTAGGATATGATTGTGTGTATGCGTGAGAGACGATACAGAGACATTGTGATAGCGTGAGAGTCTAATGAGAGATTAACCTCTTCAGGGACGAATTTTTAATTTCAGTTATAACAGAGAAACTTGACTCAATTTCATTTTATTTCTTTACTTGAGTTATGACAATTGGGGTTTATTTTCTGGTTAGCAAATTTAAAATTAGTAAACATTGCACATTTATTTTTGTAACGATTTCGCGAATGAAAGTAGCTTTTTTATAGTAAATTAACTAGTAAATATAGTAAATTAACACATATGTGGCCTAGGGCGTGAAGAGGTTAATATCTTTCGTCATCGCCATATTGAGACTTCTTCTTTTCATCTGTTGATTCCTAGTGAGAGATTAACCTCTTCAGGGACGAATTTTTAATTTCAGTTATAACAAAGAAACTTGACTCAATTTCATTTTATTTCTTCACTTGCATTATGACAATTGGGATTTATTTTTTAGTAAACATTGCACATTTATTTTTATAACGATTTCGCGAATGAAGGTAGCCTTTTTATAGTAAATTAACTGTCCATATATGCAGCCTAGGGCGTGAAGAGGTTAATATCTTTCATCATCCCCATATTGAGACTTTTTCTTTTCATCTGTTGATTCCTAGTGAGAGATTAACCTCTTCAGGAACGAATTTTTAATTTCAGTTATAACAGAGAAACTTGATTCAATTTCATTTTATTTCTTTACTTGAGTTATGACAATTGGGGTTTATTTTCTGGTTAGCAAATTTAAAATTAGTAAACATTGCACATTTATTTTTATAACGATTGCGCGAATGAAGGTAGCCTTTTTATAATAAATTAACTGTCCACATATGCGGCCTAGGGCGTGAAAAGGTTAATATCTTTCGTCATTGCCATATTGAAACTTTCTTTTTTTTATCTCTTGATTCCCAAGTTAATAAACTTGTTGGATTTCGTGTAATGGAGTCAACACGCTTATAATTTAGAAGAGTTTATTCCCTTACAGTAGTGGCCGTGTATGAAATAGAATGATATGGAATGATTTACAATGATTTAGAATGTGTTCTTTTAGAATGTGATTTAGAATGAATTCTTAGAATATGATGAATGTCTAATGCTCTTGAATATGATCTAGAATGATTTAGAATGTTTAATGCTCTTGAATATGATGTAAAATGATTTAGAATGTTTAATGGTCTTAAATATGATGTAAAATGATTTAGAATGTTTAATGCTCTTGAATATGATGTAAAATGATTTAGAATGTTTAATGGTCTTAAATATGATGTAGAATGATTTAGAATGTTTAATGCTCTCGAATATGATGTAGAATGATTTAGAATGTTTAATGCTCTCGAATATGATGTAGAATGATTTAGAATGTTTAATGCTCTCGAATATGATGTAGAATGATTTAGAATGTTTAATGCTCTCGAATATGATGTAGAATGATTTAGAATGTTTAATGCTCTCGAATATGATGTAAAATGATTTAGAATGTTTAATAGTCTTGAATATGATGTAGAATAATTTAGAATGTTTAATGCTATCGAATGTCTCTAAACCATGTCCTTATATATATTTGATTATCATCGTCAAGTGATAGAGAAAGTAGCATAGATGACCAACTATTGGATCTTGCACTTATGACTAACTATTCACAGTCCAATTTTATGTGGACTGTTGCTAGTTCATTGTCAGTATTTGCATAAATTCAATATTGTCCGGATTGGTCATGCAACAAACTTTATTCATATTTATTACAAACCACGTAGGTTAAAATAAATATTTGTTATTATTTTTACCTACAATGAGAGTAAGTTTCTTGCTTCGATTGATCTCGATCTTCTACTTACCAAAGGAAAAATGGCAGCCAGCAGAGGAGGAACGCGCCCATTATTATACCGAGCGTCCTCGCTGCTTTGTGCTCGGCCCTCCAGCTTTTCGTTTGCTGTCGTATCGATGTACCTGAAACATTGAAGAATTTATGTCAGCCAAGCCGCTCGCACGTCCGTTTTTATCTTTAAAACTATAAGTTACACTTTGGGACTATAATTTTCAGTTTTTCAATTACTTCGCGTAAGGAGATATTTCGTGTGATATTTCAATTGTTACAATGTCATTGTAATTGATTGTAGCGTTACAATTTCAATTGTAACGAATACAATAATACATAATTATTACGTAACAATTTAATTCAATGGAAAACTTTAAAGCGCGAAGATACGAAATAATATTCGAAATAACTTGTAACTCGATTGCTCGTCATTTTTTTTTTTTTTTTTTTTGAATTTGAATCTCAATTTTTGAGTCTGTATTACTCTCTTATTTAAACTTATTTTCCTACCTTGTTCTTCACCCTTTGGAAAGAATGTGACAATAACGAAACAGTGAAATTGCAGTGGACAAAAGCTCCACTTTGTAACTTTATTTCATACGCAGGATCGACGAGGCAAGATATAGAGTTACTTAAAAGATTCCGAAGTTTCCGTCGAAACAGATAATAGGTCTAACAAAATCGAGTTCCTCTGGCCTCGGATTATTCTGAAAAATTGCAGTGCCGTTTGAAGAGCCGGAAACTTTCATAGGCGAGGGGAGGAAGACACGGTGCTGCACGAAAGACTATCAATTTTGGCTCATGAAAAGCCGTGCTACTGTTTCAAAGGCTGGCAGTTCCCCAATTTTTAAACCGGAGGAACACGCCGATACGCTTTGAAACTTTAAACAAACTGTTTTAGATTTATAGCAAATCCGTAACGTCGAAGATTGAATTGGTCCCGATGCCGATACACATGCAAAAAAAAAAAAAAAACATCGTTTCACCACGAATGACACAATTACATATGTGTTAGATATTGCAGAATAACTAATTCTGAAGACTTTAGTTTTAAGTTATTGATATGGGTGAGATGGATGAATATATTGGAGAGTAAGCGTGAAAACTGTCTGTCGACCGTGAGAGTTTGAAGAGAAAAGAACAAAGCGGTTACAGAGAAATTTATACAGAGCGTTATTAGTGCAAAATTTCATTTTTTGTTTGTAATACATTTTATATATATTAAAATATATTATACATATTTATAATTATATTTATTATTATATATTATATTTATAATTATATTTATTATTATATATATATTTTAATATATATAAAATGTATTATTCATAATACATTTAATAATATAATAATAATTATTATCATTAATATATATATATATATATATATATATTCTATAAAAGGAGACAAATTTATTTTCTATCCACAAAACGTTAATACTAGAAATAGAACGTTACGAATAAAAGCCGCTATTTATTTCGAATAAATAGCACGGTTGATTGGCAAATGTTGCAACAAAGAAATTAATAGAGCGAGAACTTTCTTTTTCCCATTCTCGATCAACTATAATTTAATACATAAAACCAAACGATCGAATTTTGACGATAAAGTGTAAAATATTACATCGTCGTGTCTCTGTATTGGTCACACGTTTCATCGCCGAATGAAAATGTATACGTCACGAATCGTATTATCTCGTTAGAATTTTAAAACTTTTCGTTCGTCGATTTTACGTATTTAAAAATGAAAGAGAGAGACAGAGAGAGAGAGGGGGGGGGGAGACTTGAATTTTTAATTTCAGCTTTGAAAAGCGGCAGAAATTTCCTAGGGTTCGTCGTTTTTGTCCCCGTTTAGGGGAAACGTTCGATTTAACAATTCAGACAGGCAGAAACGCTCCATTATCCGGTGGAATTTTCCGCGTACTGTCATTTCCCTTGCATGGCGTGCAATACTCAAATATCGCGCGATCGATCGATCTTTTCAGGGCTTTTAACATCCCTGATCATCTTCACGATTTTTCGTACCCATTGTTCGATCGAAATTCAGTATCCACGGTTAATTAGCGATATCGCATTGACAATTAACTTGAATTAATTAGTAATTATCGCGAGGAATTCGACAGATCTCTCCGTTTCATTTTCCTAAAGCTTCACGCAGCCGTAATTCGCGTGACACCTAACTTTGTAATTTCGAACCTGGAAACTCGTTCCCAAACGAAAAATCAATTTTCCTACAGGGAATCGAATTACTTTTCGAGAATTTGTTCGAACGACTTCGTTCTGAATATAATCCCTGAACAAGCGGCGATAAATTTGGAAATTCCATGCGCGAAACTCGCGCTTGGCGTGCAATTGCAAAATTTTCGTAATTATCTCGCGAACGAGGCTCTTCGTTTGAACCGACGGAATTACAAATTCCAGCGAAATTTGACGAATTCCCCCAGGGAATTGAAAATTAGACGGTTCAAAAGAAAATTAAGATCAAGGCAATTGAACGTTGCATTTCAAATGACGCTGATTTACCGAAGTACACCCGAGTACTTTGATTTCTGGTTAATTCGTCGCGCAAACGTTTCTGTTTGTTTGTGTTTGTTCGCGTTTCAATCGAGCGAGGAAAACAAAGAAATGTCGACAAAGCTGCGTCAACGCATCCTCGTGGTCACCGATTGAGCCATTAGGCTGATGTTTCGACGCTGCCGGGCGATAAATTTGTTTAAACGCTCGTTAATTATAACCCGAGTTTCGTCAATTCGGCAAATATCACGAGATACTCGCCGTACACCTGATTTTTGTCGTTTTAACTAATTAGCAGAAATATTCCTCGCTTTTCTTCTTCTTCGCGTCAGCAAATATTTGTCCTTTCGCGAGCCAAATTTTTGATCTCTGTTTGTTCTCCTCGTAACGACATAGAGTCATAAATAAAGTGAGAAATTTAAAAAAACGCACAACGAACAAGAAATCAAATGTTTCGTTTCTCTTCTACGAATATAACATACAGACGGTCACAGAAAATGCCTACTCGACAGAAAATGAAACGAGAAATATAATTTTCGAATTGACGATTTTCCAAAACAATGTCAACGCAGCGAAACATTTCGAAGAAAGTTCAAGTCAATGTGTTTCAAAGCGACAAAATTGCAATCGAATTAAAAGTCTTGGGAAAAACTCTCGGCACTCGCTGCGCGTGTTGTTAATTTTTCGAGACAAGCATTCGCATCCAGCCCACATAAATTCGCATACAAAACGCGTGGATGGCATTTGAAAGTTGCAGTTCACAGGACTAAATTTCGCTGTATTAATTTCTCAAGCGTTTCCCATTGGTATTTTTCGCGATTATTGAAGTCCCGGCCACACTGTCGTGATATTGAAGCGTCAGCGCGACAGGGATCTTGAATATTGCGCGGGTTTCTATGGCTGTTTTTCCCTCGTTTGTTACCGCGTTCTATTGAGAACTCTTGCTGACTAGACGCTTATTCCTTCTCTATTGTCACATTTGTCTCCATTGTCTGAGGACAATGTATTTCTATATTTGCGTAACAATATTTCTGATAAATATTATTCTCTACGTGCGTATATTTTAACGAGCAACGCCGATTTAATCACCATTGTCGATTCTGCATTTGTATATTTTTGTAACGATGTTTTTTGATAAATATCATTCTGTACATTCGTATTTAATTCTTGACTCCACGCTTGTTGAACGTTAGAAGTCGCAGTAATTTAGGCTTCTGCGTTACGTATTCAGTTGTGGAATTTAAAATTTCATTGAATTTTATTACGTCCACGAGGCAGAATATGAAATAATCAAGAATTAAGTACTAAAAATTTTCGTAATCTAACATAAATTACTGCGGTTGTTTATAACCCTACGATACTGTTTAATAAGTATAATAATAGAAATATCAACAAGGATTTACCAAATATCATACGTTACACGCTTATGCATTACGTTTTGATATTGAAGAAACATGAAATTTCACGAGTGTACACATTTTTATGTATATCGTTCTAAAAAATGTGTATATTTGTCAAAGAATTTAATCACTTTAGATAACTAAAAATGTTTATAATCTCACACAAGCTGCTGCTGTTATTTACAATTACCCAACAAGTAAATTTAATAAATAATAAAAATAATGATTATAATGAATATAATATAACATACATTATATTATATAACATAATATTTTTATTACAGTACAATATAATTTATAATATATTATTATAATATTTTTATTATTTTATTACAATTATATATAATATAATATAATATAATACTTATTATATCACAATGAATATAACAAATTATAACCATAATCCACTAATGATTCTTCAAAATATCCCACGTATTGCGACACCATATAAACCATGACAAATTCACGTGTATCATTTTTTTAAAAAAAAAAAAAAAAAAAAAAAAATATACACCATCTCTCAACAAAAATTTATTCACATTCACCGACAGGAGGTTTCCAAAGGGACGCGTTTCCACGCGTTAAGAGTGGTTAATATCTCCACTGTCGGCGACAGACGAGAAATCAGTTTCGACAGGGCGACGTTACGAGCGGTGTTTAGATAATGCACGCAGCGCATGGCTGCAGTACGGGCAAAAAGCGGTCGCGTCCGAAAGACGAGAAAGCTGAAAGGTTCGCGTGCTTGGGCGCAGTCAGCCGGATTTAGGTTGGTTGAGTCGATGCTCACCGGCTTCTCCGCTTCCTAGCGATCGATGCGCTCGTCTATCAAGATGCAGGAAGCTTCAACCCCAGCCGACACGGCCGATTTCAGTGTACACACGCAATTACTTGTCGGCCTATCGAACACGCCGACGAATTCATACGGCTCGAGGAATGTCGACGAACGTTCCTCTTTCGTAGAACAGCGGAACAGTCTTTAAAACGCGCCTGTCCCTTTCGTTCGCAGTTGCTCGCTCTGACAGGTGGAACGCGAGCAGATGGAAGTGGCCTGCTCTGAGAGTTTAGTTAAAAGATCGAGAATAGTTATGTTGCAAGGATTTCAATAAATTTTTGAAATGTAATGATATTGTTGCCAGCAGGTTTTTCCCTGATCATACCATTCTACGGTAAAAACAAAATATTTATATATATATATAACATAATATGTATATAATAGCA